GATAAAACAACCTTTCTTATCCTAGCTCTTTAGTCTAATTTCAAGATGAACATATTCAGATTCTTATGTCTGCTTGCTGCAATGACAACCTTATTTGCCTTTCAACACTCTTTTGCTGCCACCATGCAGTGATTATCCAACAATGCCAGTTTAACTGACTTTGATATGCACCCAAGCTAACCATACTCATGATGATCCAGAATTAATGTCTTCGCCCCTAAGCCTTGAAAGCTTACAAAACCTAACATGTGACCTTCCTATAGCCAAATCTATCTGTAAGGTACCTCCAACCCACAAGAGAATACCCATAAATACAATCTGGACTTACTTATAACTAATCTGTTTTGAAAAATACAAATGGTTCAGGCAGAATCTTGGGTTATGTTCCTTTAAAAATGTATAACTACACTCTGTTTGATTCAGATGACTGTGAGTTCACATCTGAATTGGCCATAAGTGACTACAGTGTTACTTCTTATAATGCCTATGTAATAGGGGGAAATTCAGGGAATAATACCACTCAATCCTGAAAAGCAGATGTCTTCCCACTCTTGAATACTACTTAGGGACTAGATTTTAAAAATCTCATATTTGGTGAAAAACAAATGAATTCTGTTTCTTAGGGAATCCCATCCCCAAAGTTTGGAACAAAACCCATGCTAATCTTTCAGTCCTGACTCAAATATATAGAATCTGCAAGTGCTCTTTTAATCCCTCTCATGTTAAGTCTTATGATGACTTTAATGTCTTCTGCATTGATGACTATTACGAACATCCAACATAGGGAGGACATGAAGTCCCTACCTCAGAAGTAAGGCTTAATACTTCCCTCAGAGTTTGGATTGAAGGGCCTAATTACATGCTGTCACTTGAGGGCACTGGGTGCTTTTTCTCACGTGGCACCCAAATATATGCCACCTTGCCAAGCTGATGGCAAAGTTACTAACTGATATTGTCACCAGAAAGACTTCCTTCCTCTGCTTTTATCCCCAATCCAGGCTCTTTTGTCTATAAACTTTGACCAAAACAAACCAAATGGAATTGGAATTTCAGGTATGGTCTTTTCGATCCTCTTTCCACACATTATAAATGAGCAAGGCTTTGGGCATGCCTTGCTAGAACTTTCCTTTCTTGGTTTGAAGTAGCCAAATTAGAAAAGCCTATCAGAATTCTTTCTATTCTTGTAGCACAATCATAGAAAGCTACAGTTACTGCCTTTGGAGAACAACAAGAAATGATTGATAGTCTGGCTGAGGTAGTACTACAAAACCAGAGCTCTAGATGTGTTAGCCACCCAACAAGATGGTACTTGTGCGCTATTTGGAGAGGATTGTTGTCTCTATGTCAGCGAATCAGGTAAAATAATACAACAGCTTGAGGTTCTGAAACAAAATATAAAATCCTTGAATAGGCAGAATATTACCTTATAAATTGGGATTAGACAGATGTATTTAGCTGGCTGCCCACAGGAATAGGGACCTGGCTTTGTTCTGGCTCTGTATCACTGAATTATTTATTAGGAAATAAAATTTTCATCTGGCAATAGATATAAGCAACAATCATGTATAGCACAGTGTAAGACAGCTTGTCAGCACCAATCACAGCTCTTTCAAAAAAACTGTGTAACCCCTTTGGAAGCCCCCACTTTTTCTGTCTTCATAAACTCTGTCTCTTTCTTTCCCTCTTGGAATACAGTTGCATTTCTACCCAAATTCATAAGTTTAGAATTGTAATTTCTAAGGACCCCAAGTAAAGCTTCTGTTTGCAGTTTTTGGTCAAAACCGACTGACGACGCCTAAGTTAGAAACCAAGAAGAAAAAGATTGATGTATTTGATTACGTCAAAATGTGAGCTGCTTTATGTCAAGAAGAAAAAAAAAGCAAAATCAAGTAACAAACCAGGCAAAACATTTGCAATATGTACGAAATTCTGTGGGTTTTTTTTTATCTTGACAATTTAAAAAATCTCCACCAACCAATAAGAAAAATCAAACATATGCTAAAGTAGAAGAATCAGGAAATACCCAAAGAAAAGAAATATAAATCACCAATAACATATGAAAGAATATGTAACCTTATTAGAAACAAAAGTCATAGTTTGGCAGAGACTTAAAAAATAATAATAATCAGCGTTGACAATAGTGTGGGGAACTGTTGCTTTTATACCCTGCTTAAGAAAGCAGAAATTGATAAAATCCTTTTAGGAGGATAGTTTGTCATTAACTATCAAAAGTCTTCAATTTTTGCTTACCATTGACTCAACAATTTTACTTCTGGTATTTTTTTCCAGTTTTATTGAGATATTATTGACATGACATTATATAAGTTTAAAGTATAAAACACAGATGATGATTCGATACACTCATATATTGCAAAATAATTAGCACAGTAGGGTTAGTTAGCATTTCCATCATCTCACAGAATTACCATTTACTTCTGGTATTAATCTCAAGAAAATAATAATTGGGAAAGTACACAAGTATGTTCATCATGTCATTCATAATAATAGAAATAGTTGATAGTTATATACAGCATATATTATAAGCAAGCCACCTTTATTTCTCACAAAATAGTATCCCCGTTTTAATGAGGATAGTGAGGCGCAAACAAAACAAAAACAAATAAAAAACAGCTTGATCACACTCATAGGTTTGAAATGCAGGCGGTCTGCCTCCAGAGTATGTGTTCTTAATCACTATACTATATTGCCTCCTAAATCAGCCTAAATGTTCAACTTAAGTGTTTGCCAGTGTAGGATGCATTTAATAAGTTATGGTGCATGCATAGAATGGAATAGTATGCAACTATAGTAAATTATTTTTGTAAAACATGCTCATTTTATAAGTATATATAATCCAATTTCATTTTTCTTGAAAGAATGTTTTTAAAAACTCAGAAAAATCAAAACTAGTATTATGTTTTCCTTTGGGTGTTGGTATTATGCATAATTTTAGTTATAGTGGTTAAAAGCCTTTTGGAATTAGAAGGATCTGGTTTCCAAGTGTAGCTCTGCTCCTTTTTTGGCTGTGTACTTTGTGTTGCTGTTTAAGCTCTGGATGTCTCAATTTCCTCATTTATAAAATGTCAGTATGTCAGGGGTATGTGTATGAGAGAGAGAAAGAGGGAGAGGGAGAGGGAGGGGCGGAAGAGGGAGGGAGAGGGAGAAGGAGGGGCGGAAGAGAATAAATTTAGTGTTTTGAGTTGAGATGGTGTCATTCCAATGAGAAGTCAGCTCATTCTCAAACCTGGTTTGAAGGGTCAGGGAGTTGTTCCTGGCCTAATGATTTGAGCTTGGAGGCAGTAGTGATGATAGACTGGTAATGAGTGGGATAAAGAGAGATGATTTGAGGTCCTAGAATGCTAGATTTGACATTTTAGGTTATTGGATGCCAACATGCATATTATTAAGCCAGATTATGAACATGTTCTCTCAAAAGGACTATACACTTCAGCTGTATAACATCTGTTTCTTTTCTGGTGACTTGCAGATTCTCTTCATAGTGTTCCAGTAGCACAAATGGGTAATTATCAGGAATATTTAAAGACATTGGCTTCTCCACTTCGAGAGATTGATCCAGATCAACCCAAAAGACTGCATACTTTTGGCAACCCATTTAAACAAGATAAGAAGGTAGGATACCTATTTCTGTTTCTGCCCAAATTGTGCTATTCTTGCTATAATTCATTTCTTCTTGGCAAGATGAATATAAATCAGAGGTTCTCCTTCTGTTTATTTAAAAGATAAAATATGACTCCAGGGTTATTTGTTTATGGAAAGTGGGGGCCTCCTGATGCAAGAGTGTCTTGGTTAAGGAAAATAATAGCTGACATTTATTGAGTACCTAGTAGGAGCTGGTGTTTGAACTGATCACATTTAATGCTCACAACCGTTCTGCAGATAAGTATTACTGTCTGCCCTTTACTAAGAAGAAATGAAGGCTCACAGTGATAAAATGACACAACTGATAAGAGCCAGGATTTAAACTTACATCTTTCCAGATTCAGAGTCTATATTCATTCCCACCTCCACACATTAATTTATGCAATATTAAAATCACTATTTATTTCCTCAGTTTCCATTTTTCAGATGTCTAGTGCTTTATCTAGATAGTGGCAAAGTGTTTCTCTTGAAATATGAAGTACTAGGTGATATTACTTTGTTTGAATTGTCCTACTAGAGATCTAAATGTCAGTAGTGGGAGAGGAAGAGAGAGAGGGAGAGGGAGAGGGAGGGGCGGAAGAGAGAGGGAGAGGGAGGGAGAGAATTAAATAACTTAACATATATAACACTTAATATCCTTCCTGGTAAGTGCCCAATAAAGAGAAATAGTTATTATCATTTTTATAATTTTTCTATATGTTTGACTGTTTTACAATAATAATACATTATTTTTATATTCAGAAAAGTAAAGCCATTTATATTTTGGGAAAAAATAAGTAAAAGTAAAATAACCCCAAAAAGAGAGTTCAGAATGCTTTGAAATTGATATGCTACTTGTTGACCCGAGTAAACATTCGATAATACTGGGTTTATTTTTACTAGCTCCCGAAAATAAGAATGAAGGAGGTAAATGTTCTAGATAAGCAATATTAATACCCACCCTATAATCATTTGTTGTATAAGTGATTAAAGACTCATACCTGCTGAGCAAAGAGGCATACGGCTGGAATCTCTAATAATAAGCAGGAATTACTGGAAGAGGATAAGCACCTCACCACCCCGATTCTGCTTCTCAGGTCTAGTGGGACTTTTCTCTGTACCAGCCATTTGTTCTCAACATTCTGTGTGTTCCAAAAAAGACTTAGGGGCACTAGAAGGTGCACTTCAAGATGTAAGTAGGCTTGGCTTTTTCCTGCTTTTTATATCTTTCCATACAGACATGTTTCTATATTCTTTGCTATATTTTTCATTCACTATTTGTTATGACCACCAAAACACTGAATGTGAAATAAACATATTTATTGGAAAAATGGACTTTTCAAAACATGTGTTTATTACAGATTTTACATCCTGAAGTCCAAACTCTAGATCTACGGAGCTGTGATATTTCAGATACTGCTCTCCTGCACCTGTGTAACTGCAGAAAACTGAAGAAATTAAATTTAAATTCCTCAAAAGAAAACAGAATTTCTATAACTACAAAAGGTATGTTTATTAACACCGAATGAATTCATAGATTACCGTTCACCATCTGGTATAATTTTGGAGGAAAAAAGGGGGGAAATATGTCAAAAGAGAGTATGAAGATGTCAAAGAAATAGAAGCTATATCAATAAAAATATTCAAACTAAGATAACGAACCCAATTTAGAATTCTTGCTTGTAAACAGGGCTGGGAGTTAAGAAATACACTGGGTAAGTCACTACCTTGTAGTTTAAACATTTAAAATAAACATAGTTGGATACTTCTGTATTTTAAATTTTTTGCCTGGTATAGTGGAACAAGAAATGACTAGTTCATACTTTGTTACAGCTTTTTTGATGCAATATTATAACAGAAAATTATCAGATTAAACTTACTGGGCACTCTCCTATCAGTCTGTACAATGCGTAGGTTTTCATGGCCAGACGACTACATTTTTCAGCGTCACTATTACATGAATTAGTGGATCTTTATCTTTTTTTAAAAAAAAAATAGGTTGGTTTTTTTTTTACCTTTTTCTTCAATATAAGAAAGAGGGACTTAGTTGGCTAAGTTTCTGGAAAATTTTGTGGATAGTTGGCTCTATATTGCAATCATCTTGGTTAGCAAGTTAGGATATTCATAATATTGCAAAGAAGCATGAATTTTTATTTTATTTTTTTCTTCTACCCTCACCTAGCCCCCGTGCCCTTCCCAGCCCCCACTGGGAAGCATCCTGGCCTGAACAACAAAAAGCATAAATTTTTTAATGTTTACACAAGTAATAACTCACTAAAAAGAACTTTCATGCTGGACAATGATGAATAAAATAAGTTATAGAACACAATAAAAATGACCTACACATAAAATTCCCATCTCCCCTTTGGTGTATTTTTTCCACAAAATTCTTTTCACAGTATTATAATGTTTGTCCATGATTGAAGGGCTCAGGATCCCCAAAGCACTCTTTTATTTATGTGGCACATTATATATCCATGTCCAACATGCATTTGCATCAGTTAATTGGATTTAAGGACTTCTCTTTTCTTGCTCCTCGGTAAGATTGATCCAGGGTGACAAAAGGAGCATGATAGTAGAAAAGGGAGAAGAGCAAATACATAGACATAGATATGATGCCTAAGGATAGGCATGGAAACTATTACTTCAGGCAGTTGGTCAGTTTAACTGATTTCTCTTCAGAGTCCATAAGAAAAATAATTTTATTACTTTAAAACTTTTGTTTTAACAAAAAGGAGAATCATTTCCTATTTAGTTACCTAATTTGGTCATGGATGACTTGGCTATTTCCTAAAAGCCAATGTACTCTCTATTCATAAACAATAAAGGCTTACTGTTAAATGCAGATATTCTGGAGAATATACTACAGACTGTGTAGAGAATTCCTACAACATTCCAAAGACTTTGGAATGACAGCATCACTGGAAAATAAGTATATCCTCACAGATGGACTACTTTGAAAAAGACTATCATACAAATGCATGTATCAGTACCAGTGATTGCTAAAATGCAAATCAGTCACATTTCTTTCATATATACATGTATAGCTCATTGATACACAATTGTGTTTTCCCCAGGAATAAAAGCTGTGGCTTCATCTTGTTCATTCCTGCATGAAGCTTCTTTGAAAAGATGCTGCAATCTCACTGATGAGGGAGTCCTTGCTCTTGCACGCAATTGCCGGCTGCTAAAGATCATTGATTTAGGTGGCTGCTTAGGAATTACTGATGTGTCCTTACATGCATTAGGAGAAAACTGCTTATTTTTGCAGTCCGTTGATTTTTCAGCTACTCAGGTAAATAAAATACAGACTTGAAATATGGAAACTGTATGTTTTTGCACAGTATTTTCAATGACTCATCAAAAGAACATAATTATCTTTGTTGGCAAAATTGTTGACCAGTTCATGCTTTGGTGGCTAAGTAATTGCAATATAATTTGGCACATTCTGCACATTATTTTAAGTAAGGGTGGAAGGTATGTGTGGTTAAAACACATTTGCTGAATAGGAGACAATAAAACTATATCTAAATGATGAATAATTTTTAGAAAATTTTACTTCCATCATCTTCATTTATGTGCTGTATTGTTTTTTCCTTTGCTTAGGTATCTGACAATGGTGTGGTTGCGCTTGTTAGTGGACCTTGTGCCAAGAAATTAGAGGTAATTTGAAAATATCTATAAAGATGATGTTAACTAATTTTTTATATTATCCTCAGAAATTCTTTTTAAACCCAGCAGACAACCAGTGCCTTATTATCAATTAGGTATTTCCATGAATTTTTTTTTTGTCTTTACCTCTTTATTTCCAGAGTAAAGAAAAACTGATAGAGTAGAAGATGAAAAGTATGCTTTAAAATAAAAACCCATTTTATTTCCAATGAAAGTTCTTATTTTCCAGAAGTTTTAGCTTCTGACACATTTAAGGATAGTCTTATTTTGGATGAAGACTGAAAGTTTATCAATGTAAAGTGATATTTTTTAGAATTTTCATGTCTGACTAATATTCCTACCGGGATTGCTTATTCTCTTGCCATCGTATTTTTCTGGATCCATGAAGGGATCCAGAAAAGGATACTACTGTGCCATAAAAGTTATTTTGAGCTGAAGATACTTGAAAATCAACTCATATAAAAGAGGATTTGTCTGAACATCCCCCCACCCACCACCAATCTGCCTAAAAGCAGAGCCTTCCAAAAGGATTCACCTGTCATCAAACCCCCTTCAGAGAAGACTTCCCACACCAGTAGAGATCACTCCTATCACTGGAGAAGTCAAATGAGAAATTGTATAAACAAATACTGTCATAAGATCATCATACCTGCTATCTACTCTCCGAAAGGCCCATTCTTGTCTTTACTAAGTCATTTGTTTTTCTATAAGTATCCTTTTAACCCCACCCCCTTTCCCTGTTAAGATGGAATATAAACTCTAAATCCTAGCCATTTTTTGGAGACACTTTCTCTGTGAGCACACGTATGAGTAAATTCTATCTTTTTTTTTTGCTGATCTGTTTTTTGTCAGTTTAAGTTTGCAAGTCTCCAAAGACAGGATAAAGAAAAGGATTTTTTTTTTACCCCAATAGCCATATTATACAGCTGTTTAAAAATATCTTAAAATTAGTGTTCAGCCTTTTGATTCAATGACTAATGTGGCACTTAAATCTCCATAAACAAGATTTAGTATTTTAAATTTTTACAGAGTAGTTTCATAATGTATGTGTTCTTTTACAGTTTTTTTCTTAATTCAAAATCGTTTTTCAATTTTTCAAGCTCTATTGAAGTATAATTTACATGCAGTTAAATTTACCCATTTATGTGTACAGTTTGAATTTTGGTAATTGTTATATAGACTTGTAACTACGGCCACTTTTAAGTATAGAACATTTCCATCACCCTAAAAAGTTTTCTCCTGCACCTTTGCAATCAGTGCCAATGACAATACTTTGTCATTGTGGTTTTGCCTTTTATATAATTTTATATAAATAGAATCATTCAGTATATAGTCTTTGGTTTTTTACTTTTTTCTTTTACTTCTTTCACTAAGTATACTGTGTTTGAGATTCATCCACGTTGTTGCATGTGTTAATATTTCATTCCTTTTTTTTTTGCTGAGTAATATTACAAACTGGATATGACAGTTTGTTCATACATTCACCATTTAATGGACATTTGGGTTCCAATTTGGACTATTATAAGTACTACTATGAATATTTGTATAAAAGTATATAGATATTATGTTTTTATTTTTCTTGTATAAACACCCAGGAATGCAATTGTTGGGAATATAGTACATACATGTTTAGCTTTATAAGATAGCACCATACTGATTTCCAAAGTGGCTAAACTAACATTATGTTTAAAATTTTTGTCTATTAATACAAATAGATATTTTTCATTTTAACTGTTTTATCTTATTCTATTATATTAATGAATCACCATTTGATTCCCAGTCATTACTTCTTTACTGTTACAAATAATATTACAATGAGCATATTTGTAAATTGTTTCCTTGTGCACATGTACAAGAGTTTCTCTCTATACACTGGACATCTGGAGTTGGAATTGCTGGGTTCTAGGGTATACTCATCTTCAACTTTAATAAATATTGCCAAATTGCTTTATAGAATGGTTGGGCATTTAACTTATAAAGCTGCTATACCTTCCAAATTACTGCAGACTTGCAATAGTACTTTCTATAGAGTTTTCTTTACAAGTTGGTATTTGATTCTTTTTGTATCAGAGTATTTCTCAAGTTTTTTTTTCATATGGTTATCAAGACCTATTTTTTTCTTTTGAATATCCTTTATTTTTAAATAGGAGATTCATATGGGACATTGTGTGAATCTGACTGATGAGGCTGTAGAAGCTGTCCTTACTTGCTGTCCTCAGATACGTATATTACTGTTCCATGGGTGCCCCTTGATAACAGGTTAGTATGATAGACTTCTTGGGTTCAAATCCTGGTTTTATCTTTTAGCAATTGTGTGACCTTGAGTAAGTTACTTAACTCGTGCCATTATTCAGTTTCCTCATCTGTAAGATAGGTATAATGTCAGTACCTACCTCATAAACTCGGTCACGATGATTATCTGACGACACCATATATATGGTGCTTAACACATAGTAATGGCTCAGTAAATGTTGGTCGTGATGATGGTGGTGGTGATGGTGGTGGTGGTGATGGTGATGGTAAACACTCAATAAATGTTACCTAGTATGAGGATGATGGTGATGGCAGTGATAGTGGTCATGATACAATACATGATGCTTAATGTAGACAATAAAAAAAATCAAGTTTGTAATATTACATATATCAAATATGTTAAATAACCATCAATCTGTAGCCGTTGAGATTCAGAATAATTTGGACTCTTAGGTTAATGTGGTTCTTCACTGAAGGAAAACAAAGTACTCATAGCCCATTTGGCCTGTATGAGAACCATGATACTGTATATCACTGTGCCCCAGAAACCATAGCACCTCACCCCTTTGACATTATCCTTACCTACACCACAATATAATCTAGATCTCACTTATAAATCAGTACTTATGCCAAGTCCTTCTGGCTCATTTCTCTAACTACAGTCTAAACAGCTATTCTCTAGGTTGAGTTACTATCCTAGAAGTCTTTTTGACAATTTATGTTTTTTCTTATATTTGGACCACCAATGTAAATCAAGCCTATAATAGGTTATATTTGTTTACCAGTGACATCTATAATGAAAACTATATCTAATTTTAGGCAAAACATCTCTCAAAAAACTAATGCCAAAAGGGACATTAGAAATTGTTAACAGTGGTTACCTCTAGGGAAAATTGTAGAAGGACAAGAAGAGGAAAAAACCTTCACTATATACATACTCTTTCTGCCTCTTGAATTTTGTATCATGTGACTGATTTTACCTTCTAAAATTAATAATAATTTTAAGAAAATAATTTAGAACCAGGAAAACTCATAGGACTGAGTGCAGGGGATTGGTACATGTGTATACTGCTTTGGGGGTTGTGAGAAGGCAAGCAAAGGCTCTCGAATGGTCATCCAACAGTAAAATTGTATTCTAATAGGTAGGCTATTGTTATAAGGTGGAAGAGACCACAGTATGTGAACTGTAGTAACAGCAACCTTGTATAATAGATCTTTTCAGAATATCAGCTAAAAGTGTGTAAATCTACCACTGAGATGTGTATATTTCATCAATACACTGATCGAGCAAGTGGTACTCTTAAAATGATTCTATTTCCCCACACTGTTTTAATTACAGATCTGCTCTAAGGGGGCTAATTTTTTCCCAAAGCCAGATGAAATATCAGACATGTATCATCAACTTTTCTTATTCTCAGATAGATATGTCTCATCATTTCATATCACTGAATCCTTCACATTTCAGTAATTAAAATGTCTTAGGCCCGTATAATATTCAAACAAGTTGTAGTTAAAGCTTTGCTCCTCCAGTCAGCTTAGGTTTGTTGTAGGTGGGTAGGTTGCAGTGGGTAAGGGGGTGTTGTTCGTTTTCTGTTTTACCAGCTTGTACTTCTCTCTCTTCCCCAGCTGACCCGCCATGGTTTCTGACTCCACCAATGTCAGTGCACAGTAGCATTGGGGGAGCAAGAGGGAGTAAAGGAAAGAAAAAATATTACTTTACCATTACTACTGCTATCTAGTGCCCACACTCTGTGCTCTGTGGATGAACTGGTCCTGATCCATGCTCTCCCCAAAGCCGGGCACTTTGGAGGTTCTCCAGAGCTCACTTCCTACTACTTCCTTCCTCTTCATTGCATATGTCTCTTATCTGCATTTCTCTTGATTTAGACAAATGTGTCCGGAAAATATGTTGTAGTGGTTAATCTGATTTTTAAACCCAGAGGTTTTTGAGATAAATGACATAATTATTGAGATTACTGGTAACCAAAGATATATTATCAGTTGGTGAATTCAAGAGAAATGCCTGGCTAGTAAGATTCCAGACACTAGGAAAGCTTAATCCCACTAAATCTTTCTCTATTCACATAATAATTGAATATACTGAATTTACTAACTCAACTTTAAGATCCTAAAGGACAGGGGTTATGCCATGTAATTCTTTTCTTCCTTCCTTCCTTCCTTCCTTCCTTCCTTCCTTCCTTCCTTCCTTCCTTCCTTCCTTCCTTCCTTCCTTTCTTGCTTCCTTCCTTCTTTCTTCATTTCTTCCTTTTCTCTTTCTTTCAGGACTCTGTTTTTCAGAGGACTCAGACTATCCATCACA